CTTTAATACTTTTAAATTATTGTTAATCTTTGATATAATGCGTTATATTTCAACACTAATATTTATATTATGTTATTAGTTATATTGTAACTAACGTATTTAAAATTCTTGTTATGTACTTAGCTACTCTTCATTTTTTATATTAACTGACGATTTTTTTAATGTAAATTTTATGATGGGGCTAGATGATAAGACAATTTATGTCTTCTGCTTGCTCCATTTTTCTTATTTATTAACACGATTTATTTCATTGTAAATTTTAATATATGACAAAACTCTTTGCTTAAAAAAAAAAAAAAAAAAAAAAAAAACAAGAATATCTTTTTTAATACTTGAGAAATATGACTAAAATTTCCACCAATCGTTCATCTGATTACTGTGACACAATTTGACTAAAACAAGAATTTTGTAGTTTGCTGTTGTTGCGATATTGATGTTAACCAAATTGAAAATTTTATATCGACGTCAAAAACATGCTGTAAGACTAATCTATCATAAAGATAAATTTACACACGCTGAACCCTTATTTAAAGAAATAAATGTGCTTAATATTTATCAAATAATATTTACCAAATTATATTGTTTATGCTAAAATTTAAATTAGGTTAAGTACAAAACCATTTTTTAAATAATTTTTTTATAAATAACGTTAATAAATATAACACAAGAGAAAAAGGAAACTTTATTACACCTTTCAAAAAAACAAAACTTTCCCAGTTCTCAATTTCATATCGGGGTCCTTATTTATACAACAAACTAGTAACTAAAAATAAATCAATTTGCAATCTAGATAATCAAAATTCCTTGAAAAAAAAGTTAAAAAATCTGATACTGAATCTACACAGATACTCAGAATTCTTCTAAGACTATAAATTAAAATACATATATATCTACTACAAAGTGAACTGGCTCGTTTATGTGTATTATCTAAATGACTCTTACCTTTCTCAAACAATATATCAAAATTTGTTTATTACACACACAAAAAAACACTTTATTTTTTCTTATCAATTTTAGTTATTATGCTGCTTGTTATGTCTAATATTTTATACTGAGCTTATTTTGAGTTTATTTTTTATTATGAGCTTAATTTAAAGAATATAAAAATATAGTTGTACTTAATATATAATTTTATTTAACATAATCATAATATATATCAAACACATTGTATGGGCTTCGTGATAAGATCATTTCGATCTTCTTGAAGTCCGGCCTGTACTACTTAATTATAAATTTCACTATATATTTTGACTCACGAGACTTGTAAATATTACAACTTTTAATTTACGAAACTTGTAAATGTTATATGTATGGCAAATATATGAATAAAAAAAAAAAATGTTGGCTGCACACACTTTACATAAAAATTAAAAACCTTAACTTTAAATGCCGCAATTTTTTTTACTATAAATGTTATGCATATACATTACATACATATACATACATACATACATATACATACATATACATTACATACATATACATTACATACATACATATACATACATATACATTACATACATATACATTACATACATATACATACATATACATACATATACATACATATACATTACATACATATACATACATAGAATACATTACATAGAAGTGTGAAAGCATGGGCAACTGTTTTTGTTATTCCAAAGGTTTTTAATAAAATCCGGAATGTTGGTCTTTTCCATTACCTCTTTTCATAACATTGTATCTAGTTTTTAAACTTATTGAATCATACTTTTTTAACCACAAACATTAGGATGACATAAATTGACCCCATTATCCTTCAAAAAAATAAAACAATTTTTATTCATTTAGGTCATTTCTACGCACATCAATGGTTTTCAAATTATCTGTCAATCTTTTTTTTTTTGTTGTTCTTTAATTGACTTCTTTGCTTTGCAGAGTGGGTTAAAAGTGACACTTTCTAGCCAAAATCCCTAAAAAATATTTTATTAACTTTCCTTATTAGAAAAAGTTCAATACATAGAAAAACACAATATGCAGCAAAAACAATTTTAAAAACTTTAAATTCTATTACATAATTACGCAAATTATTTAAAATCTCCAGTAATTTCTAGTTGTAAAAAATTCCGTTAAATCACCCAACAAACTAACAACAAGGGTATAATTTGAATTTATAGTTTAAGTAAAGTATTCTGTTGTTGGCTTATGCAAAGGTTCAATGACACCAGAGGATAGACTTTTTTTTCTGTGATGCATCTTTTTTTCTAAATGTGCAAATTAAAGGATCAAATGCACATAAATACGGTAAAAAAGGTTTAAATTGTTTTTTTTCCAATCGCATTATTTTGTAAAATTTTCACAGAAGATCTTAAAAAACTCATTGGTGGCCTCTTTAGCCTCTTCAGAAAACATACCTAATGGTAGAGTAAATATTAATTTAATGATTTCATAGCCATGAATCAAAATCTTATGGAGTGTTTAAGTCATAGGATACCAAAGATACAGGTCTACATATAGCGAAGCAGTATCCAAACAGAACGTTTTAAGTTTTAATGAATAATATCATAATCACATGACATTGTGGCCTTAATATTATAAAGCTTTTTCATAAAATTTGCATTTATGTTCGTTATATTTGCTGAGACATCGTATAGCTGAAAAAATCTCCTAGCTGTGTTACCGCTGTTTGATATACCTGCCCCACCTACTCTTGTATGGTCTATGACAAGACCATCCTTTCCAAAATTCAGCTTGAATTTGAACCCTTTTCAGTTTAACAATACTTTTTTCTTCTTCAGTCCTAGCCTGCACTTCATAATAGGCATCTTGTAAGAGATATTGAGCATACATTCTAAAAACCTTATCCAAGCATGCAAAGTTGAAACACCATGTCTGATATTGCTATCTGAAGTTTTATTTTCAGCTATTAAAAACAGGTTGATCATTTCGGTTAGAGATGCACCACACACTGAGCAGCATAGGTAAGTTTGAATTTTTCCTTCTATCGTTGTTATATTTACAATATGTTGTATTACAACTTCCTTCATTGTACCGTCCTCCAATAAAATATACAAAGAATAATGTTTTATTTTTAATAGAAGCCATAATTGACTCATATTCTGCAAGAACTAGTTCTTTTAATTTTTTTCTATATTTAAATCTGAGAAGCCTACAGTAACTAGTTGACGATGGTTACGGATTTCTCCAAACAACCTGTTTTTTCTTATCTTTGAAACAATATAGTTCTAGAGAAACAAAGAAAGTTATAAAAAGCGATTCAACAGTATCAAGTTCACTCGTTTCATCTGACTGTTGTTTATAAACAGATTACCCTGTTGCACCATCAAAGCCAGCTTTGTGTATTCTTATTAGTCTAGTACAATCTTTAAGCTCAGGCGAACTTAACAAGGACACTATAAACTTAACATAATCTTGATGTAGTATAAAAAAAGAAGATCTTGTAATAGGACCTCTGCAGAGTAGTTACTGGCCTTAATGTTTTCAGGTTAGCATTTATTTTTAGCCTCTTTTACAAAATGATATGATGGGTATAGAGAGTTAAATTAAAGAACATTATTTCTTAAATGCTGATAAGTTACTTTGGATAAATTAGCATCTAAGATTGTTCTGACTGCTAAGGACTGTTCTGACGTAAGTGATCCTGTCGATAATTCTTTGTTGCATACTTTTTTAACACCTTTTGCTTCTATAAAACTTTTATCTTTTTTCAAACTTTTAGTCGCTGCATATAAAAGTTCGTTCGAATTGTATTTTTCCAAAGGCTCGGAAACTACGCGATCTTTCGTTCGTACAGACGCATCTTTAAACAAAACTGAAGGGCGTCCAACTTAAATTATAACAATAACTTTACTATCATAATAACAATATAAATAAATTGTATAAACAATAATAAATTATTATATAATAATTTCTATGTTAATATATAATAACTTCGTCTTACCAAATTTTGTTTTATTTTTCAAATACTCGTTATATGTGATTTTTCCCATTTTTTTTTGGCTTGAAAAATGAATTTTAAAATAATTGAAAAACTATTATTAGATTCTTCAAAATTGCTTTTAAAATTAAATCTTAAAATATTTGCACGTATACCATCATTTTGTAGCAAATTATTTCCCATTATATAATTCATAAGACGTCTTCTATGAATCGTCTTTTAAATGACCGCCTATCAATTTAATGATTTTTAGTTATTTTCTTAATCAGTAAATTAAAATATTTTGTAATAAGCTAACTAAAGCTTTTTATGGGTTTTTTTATACCAGTCGTAGCTAAGTAGTTCACTGTCTATCCTTTATTTCTTCTTGGTTGTTGTCGCGTTTTTATCTAACTCATATATTTTTATTATTTTCGAAAATTTTGAAACAAATAATAAATAAATAATAATGGTAATGTCTCAAACCTGTAGAAGGTAAAAGTTATAATTTTGTATTTAATTTAGTTTTTATTACTTTAAAATGATAGCATAAAAAATGACAAATAATGGTTTCTTGTTAAAATTTTATATATATAGTGCAAACAAAATAATATTTTATCTTATTTAAATATTAACATAATTATATATAAGTTATTTATATGGTAAAGAAATAAACTTAAAGTTCTTTAAAATAAGAAATCAGTTTTAAAAAAATGTAAAACAAGAAAACTCACGCACTTTTTTTTTATTTTTTTTTTGTGTGTGTGTGTGTGTGTGTGTAATGTTTTTAAGGTGATGTTTAAATAACAAATTAGTGATATTTTATTGTAAAAATATTTCTACGAAAATATAATTTCTAGCTTATTAATATGTTGAAAAATTCTTGCCATTTTATAAACTTCCAAATTTTTTTGCTTGGTTTTATCATACTTTGACCTATTGTTGTTGTTTTTTATTTTAACTATTTATTTTAGTTTTCTTAGTAGTAAATTTGTTTGATAATCAATTTTCCATTTACAAAAGTTAAACATTAAGTTTCAGCAAAGAGGCGAATGTAATTAAAGTAAGGAATTTAAAGAAATTTGGAAAAATAACTTACCTCTTTCACAAAAGGTTCCATCAAAATTTGAAGAAAGACATTTGCATGTGCTGCTATCGTCATTATAGTTTGGTACACATGTTGAATTGTTCAAACATAAATCTTTTTCACAACCTGCGTTCTATGAAAAAAGTACTTTATTTATAAGGTTTAAGTTTAAAACTAAAAGGCAGCACAAAAAATGATTTTCGTTTATTCTGCAACAAACAGGGTTTAATGAGATCAGCCTTAGATTTATATATATATATATATATATATATATATATATATATATATATATATATATATATATATATATATATATATATATATATATATATATATATATATATATATATATATATATATATATATATATATATATATATGTGGGTGTGTGTGTGTGATCATCAGATCTTCAATTATGGAAAAGTACTTTGTATCACAAGGAGATGTTCGAATTTTTCGTTTGATTGTGTTGTATACAAGATGAACCAATTCAATTTGCATGTCTTTGTCTAGGTTATATACATATACTTCATTGTATTTAATCTTTCGATAATGCTCATCCATATATCATCCATAACAAAGCTGAAAATTCCACAAATTTTAGAAAGTTTCCGTTATCAGAAGTGTTCAGTTTCAGTGTGTTACACAAAAGGCAAGGTGATGCATATCAAGAAATATAACTAAAGTTATCAATCGTTTCAAGATTTGCTGCCAATACTGATCTTTTTTTTTAAAAAAAAAGACAAATGTTTGGCATAAATTGTTTTATTGTGTCGCAGTTGCGGCTAAAACTCTTTTCTTGACTAAAAATTCTCTAAGTGCTTACTGCTTATCTCCTGACAGAATTGCTGACAAGTTTTTCCTATCATGTGAACCATTTGAAGAAAGGGAAGCTGTTTTGCTAGTGGTAAACAGCTTGCAGCAGAAGCAATACACAGAATCATTACTTACAGAGTACCACAGTAAATATCCGCGAACTTTAACTCGATTGACAACCTAAGGGTTGCGATAGTTTTTTGAAAATTTTCTTTGCATACTCTTATTAGAAAAGTTCATGTTCTATCAAAAGTCGTCGCATTTCACCTTCATAAATGACACATGTAGCTGGATTGCCATAATTAACATAACAACCAAAAATTTATCAATTTCTTTCTTTTTAGATTCTTTGTGGGTATTATATTATGTAATTCAAAATCTTCTGATACTGTCAACTTATCGGCTTTTCATTCTGAATTAACACGCTGTTTCAACTGAATTAACACGTCAGTAAAAACAATTTTTATAATAAATTTTATAAAGTTCGTAGTTTCATTTGAAGTAATTTAAAAAACTTTAACTATTTTTTAAACCTTCGAAATTTAATTCAAAAGAGATTTGAAAAATACTTTAGCAATGTTTTCAATGTTTATTTTTTATTTAGCTTTTAGTGCTCAAACTAGATTTTAGTACTCTTAGAACTTGCCGCTCGAGGCGGCCGTCTACTTTGCCTCGTAGTTAAACAGGTGCTGAGGATGGATGATAAAGCACGGTTAGCACGGTTCTTTGTAATGCGCCAATAAAAACACTTGTAGAACTTGAATCACTCAATATAATTTAATAAAAATTGATGCAAGTGTAGCCAATAGTCACACCAAACTCTGGACAAAATTTCAGCCTGATTGAATGACTGGTATAGGATTTATTGCAGTTTTAATTGAGGTTTTGTCAGTTTTTTGCTACTTATACCACAAAGCGTTGCCGATTACTTTAAAATTTAGTTACTATTTTTAAAATAACGGTTACATGAGTGCTCTACTATGTAATACCAACAATTTTTGTTAAAGTTATTTTATCGGTACATGTACAGTTTTCATTATATAGACCAAAATAGTGATTTGTTACTTAGCCTCCCCGGCGTTGACGGCCATGTATATACCAACATTTCCTAAAATATAAACTGATGCCAAAAAAAAAGCTAAAAAAAAAATGCAAAACCTGGTCAAAGGGCTACCAGTTAGTAAAACAGTAAAAAGTAGATCTCCTAAAATGTTTTGTATTGACCTCCTTAAATACATTTACTTTTAAAATAAAGTGAAAACTATTTAAACCCTATTTTTTACATTGTATTACCATCAAATATCTAATAACATTTTAAGAAATGTTTTTTTGATTTTCTCTGCCAAAAGATTTTTTTTTTTTTTTTTTTTTTTTTTTTTTTTTGTCTTTTATCAAAGCTTTACAAATACGTGATCATAAATATAAACTAGTTCGTTTACATTGTATAAAAAAAATACCGTACATATAATAAGAAAACTTTTTTTAATACAAATAATAATATATATATAAAAAAGTAACACTGTTAAAAGACGCGGGAAACTTGCAGAAGACCATTTTGGTCTTGTCATCAAGAAACCGCTTTTAGTTGCGATATTTTGTATACTTAATTTATTAAGAAATTTCAGTTTGTCAAAGTCTCATGGTGGCATAAGAGTCACACATAAAAAGCTACTAGATAATCAAAAACAAAAAACGGAAAAGAGCTGTATTTGATACACATAAATATATAGTTACATGGTTTGTTATACTTAGTATATTGACATGTACGAAATATAAATAAAATCTAACATTTACTTTGCTTTAAAGTGGATTTTTTAGGGGTTTTTAGTTATTTGTTTTAATATACGTTTGTAAAATTGTTTAAGTTTAGAACAAGTTTTTTTAAAAGTGTTTTCAGAGAATTATGGTTAAGTAGTTTTGTAATTATAGTATTTTTAGCTATTAGTTTGTTGTAGAGGTAAGGGCCGCGATACGAGATGGAGAAACGTGATAGTTTTGTTTTTTTATATGGTACTTTAAAATTTCCTATTCCTCGAGTTTCATATTTATTTCTATTGCATTTAAAAAATTCTTCTGAAAAATGTAATGGGACAAGTCCGAGTTTATATTTGAGCATGAATATCAAATTTTGGTAAATGTTAATTTTGTAGACATTTAGTGCATTTAGAAGCCTTTAGCAAAGGTTCGGCATGAGTAAATTTATCTTTATTAAATACTATTCTTGCAGCATGTTTTTGATGTCGATAAAGTACCACTAGGTTGGATCTATGGGTACTTGCCCATGCTATATTACCATACGTATAATAGGTTTGAATGAAGGAGAAATAAAGTAGCTTTAAATTTTTTTGGGGTAGCATCGGTCTAGCTTTGTAAAGCATGCAAATGTTGTTTCTTATTTTGGTATTTAATAAGTTTATGTGAGTTTTCCATGAAATATTCTCATCGATAAGTATTCCTAAAAATTTTGTTGCTTTGGTTCTTTCGATAAATTTATTTTCTATTTTTAGAGACGGTAATGGAATTGGTATAGATTTTTTCCTTTGATTGGTGTGAAATAGAATGTAGTTGTAAACTTATTTTATTCATTAGTAATTTTAAAACTTATTTTATTCATTTAGTAAACTTATTTTATTCATCTACTTCTATCTGCGATAGAAGTAGATGAATAAAATAAGTTTGTATCATCTGCAAACAATATGGCATCAAGTTTTTTTGAGACTTTTGGAAGATCATTGATGTATAGCAAGAAGAGTAGGGGAGCTAGAATGGAACCTTGGGGAACTCCGCATTTTATTTTAAGTAATTTTGAATGGGTATTTTTATCCATAATAACACATTGCTGTCTGTTTATAAGAAAGCTCTCAAACCAATGTAAAGCAACATTTTTAATGCCATATTTTTCCATTTTTTTAAGTAGTATAGCATGATCAACAGTATCGAATGCTTTCGATAGATCAATAAAGATTCCTAGAACAAATTTGTTATTATCAAAAGAGTCATTTATTTTATTTACAAGATCTATAATCGCATGTTCGGTTGAATGTTGTTTTTGAAATCCGAATTGTTTTTTATTCAAAATATTGTTAATAATATTATGTTAATAATATTGTTAATAAAATATATGTTAATAATTCAAAATATTGTTAATAATTAGATTATTAATAAATAGCTCAATTTGCCCTTTTAATACAAATACTCTATAATACTACTTTTAAAGATAGTGAAAATATTCATTATACGCCGTAAAATATGAATATCACCAGGCTAATTTCTAATAACTCAAATGATGTTCTTTGAAGATGCTTACTGTTTAGATCAATTATGCAGCGCAACAATCTTTTTTTGTACTCTGGATAATTATCATATTGCTTATACATCGACCAATGTTGATAAAAATCTTGATGAGAAGTTTCGACAGTTTGTTCAATGTAGGCCCCCAAGGGGCCTATATTGAACAAACTTTGTGACTGATGAAATCCTTGATGTGGTAGAAGACGGTGTAATGTTTGGGTGTTACGCTTGCATCAGTTATCATTAGGTAACACCTTTTGAAGTTTTCAATTTTTTCAGCTAAATCCGGCTGAAGGATGTATCCAAAGCAACCCTTGAAAACTAAATTGATCCAGGTTTGTCTCAGCAAGTAGCTGCAGCATATCCACATTTTTAAGAAGCTTCCTGCATTTATTTCCCTCAAACTGGCGCCCGGAATACGGGCTCAGTTGAATGTAGAGGGCGGCTGGCCACCTCACAGCTTCTATCTAAGCAATTTTAAGGATCTTTTTTTTTTCAGTTTTAAGGTTGGCAACTCCTAAGAGGAGATGCAATTCCATTGGTGGAATTATTTCCAAAAGCAGAACATTGATAGACCCGCAGATGATTGGCTTTCGAATGACATTGTTAAGCAGCTTTGCATTAGCAACAAGCCCTCTAGATTGCTGAAAAGACACAAGGCTTGAATTAATTGAGCCCAGTGTTTGCAAGTTTCCAGATTTGGCAAGACAATTGGATTTGGCGTCACACCAGGTGCACGGATGCGTACTTGAATAAATTTGAAGACCACAATTTATACTTGCAACTTTCATATTACAAGCCAAAATTAGTTTAACTCCATTTGCATTAATCAGTGACCAGATTTGCTCAATGTTGAAGTGTGTTTATGGCAAATCTTTCGAAATCTTAACAATAATTTGTCTCTTGACTCCAGTGTCTTTAACAGTTCTTTGAGTGAGAGGTTATTGTTGGTTCGGTAAGCTGGTTTCATCCCTTAACGTAGTATCAACAATTATTAGGCAAAATTTAAGAAAATCTTTCAACTCC